CATCTCATTGCTTTAATTTGTGTCCTCAATGTCTATTAGATCACAGCACCAAGTGGGTTTTGATCATGTAATTGAGTGCACATCGCCGTGCCTTTCATTATGTTAACTTTCTCATTGATAGTTATGTGCTTATTGCAATTGGTTGAGCATTTTTTCCAGTCATTAGTGAATACTTCTGGTATGACACTTCACATCCGACAGGTGAAGACCGTTCTAAACAATGTTAGCAAGATAAATTAAGTGCATACTGTTCTCCGTTACATTACACACTTAAGGGCATTTAAATATAACTGGATCTGAAATCTTCAGCTCCTGAATTTGCATTTATGCAGCTTGCTGGAAAGAATTCACACCATATTATTGACGCAACCTTCAAAGCTTTCGCCAGGGCTCTTCGTCAAGCAACAGAACCAGACCCACGACGCCTTGGGACCATACCAAGGTCTGGTTTTACCCCCCAATCTCAGATAGTGCCTCTGCTGAGTGCTGAGTTCTTTCAACAAACAGCAATTTCAATTAGTTCTTTTATTGATTGGTTGACCACTGATTCTACGCTGTTGGATGCTCCTGTGTACAGCTCAAAGGGTGTTCTGTCGCGTTCTTGACGAGTTCATTGTCATAGTTGAAGCAACAAATGACTTAAAGTTGGCATTCTGGCCCCCTGAAGCGCTAAATTTGCAATGGTTGGTGGTTATTGGGAGGACTTATCCTTAATCTGAGCATGTTTTGGGATTACAAGTACCAGCCAAAGTGCAACTCCAGCCCAGTTACAAAGACTAGCTGTGTGATCGAATATGAAATCATTGAACTTTCATAGGATTATTGTTTGTCCTACATTAGAACTATTTATGTAAGTGTATCTTATAGACAGTGCCCTAATGTCGACCACCTGTCGATGTATTTGGATGTTGCAGATTCTTCTACATTGCCCTATGGCTGGAGTCGCTATGCACAATTCAGCTTGGCTGTGGTGAATCAAATTCACAACAAGTACTAAATCAGAAAAGGTACGTTTCTGGTTCTGATAGACAGTGCCTTGGTTTTTGCTTGATATTGTGCTGAAACGTGGCAAGCATGTGCATGGGATGAATTTAGGACTAGTCACAAGTAATTATTTGGTATTCTGTTAATTGATTATTGCCTGCTGGGAATGGAAGTTCAAGCATGGTACTATATCTCCTCCTAACTTCTCAGATATTTTGTAACTTCCATTCTGTGCTCTTGGCACTTATTGTACTTCACCATCTGGCCCTATCTTTGTTGATTTAAGAGTCACGTGGTGGACTTGAGCAATTTATTGAATGAGTAGTTTCTAATATGCTTACTTCTTTGTTTTTCCCCAGATACTCAACACCAGTTCAATGGAAGGGAGAGTGACTGGGGTTTCACATCATTTATGCCCCTCAGTGATCTTTATGATCCTAGTAGGGGATATCTTGTGAATGATACTGTACTTATTGAAGCTGAAGTTGTTGTTCGGAAGGTTCTGGATTATCTGGTTGTCGAGGTCTCGCAAGAGTCAAACTGGTTCTAATGAATACAAGACACGTGCTGCAGTTGGTGTAAGTTTATCTCAACCCCTATTACATATCAATCTGGTCCCTATGTTGGATCAGTCTAATTATGTTAGATAAATTATGGTATAAATTTAATAACCAACCATATGCATATCAATCTCAGGCACCTCGAAGAGAAGATGAAGAAGACAACAAAGTTAAAATCAAAGCAGCCTTGCAAAAAATGCACGAGGTATGTCCTTGAATAGCTGGCGGCACGTAGCCTTCGGGTTCAGGACAAGTCTTAATATAATGACCGTACCTTCTATCGCATCTCCCACACTTCCTCTTCTTTTTCTTCTGTTGTTTTTTTGCCTTTCCTTTTCTACATCCCTTGAACTTCACTTTTTTGGGGTTGAGAACTCTTTCGAACTCCTTAGGTATTACCATCGATTCCCTTTCAGCCGGAGTTGTTCTCATCGTTTCCAACTTGTCCCTCACTGCTGTCAACCCCCCTCGAGCAACCTGGAAAGATAGAGGAGTCTCTGCCCCCAATAGGAAAATATGTGTAGCCAAGAACTGGAGTGACCCATATCTGGTGTTGAAAGAATGATCATCCCCCAACTTAGGTGGCGGTGGCATACTGTCTATTGACTTTGGGTTCTTTGAGCAACGTTTAAGTACCAGTTTCTCAGGAATATTTTTCACCCGTTCTTCTTTCAACACACAGAGCATATGAGTGCAGGGAATTCCAACACTGATAAATTTTTTCAGTTGCACTCCATATCCTTTGTTTCAAGGTTGTATTTTACCTCCACAACCTTCTGTTTGTTGAACATACTTAAACTGTAGGTGTGTATGTTTCCATCCTCAGATTGAGTGTTCTTTATGCACCCAATAACCTGCTCTAGTTCACTTCTGAATTTAAGAAATGCAGCTTTCGAGAACAACTTAACTGCACTTTCTTCAAGGGGTCTAAGCATGGTGCTCTTTAGCGGGTTTAAACCATAATTAGATTTAAAATCTAATTTGATCTCTGTTTCCCTCAAATCCCTACACCAACGATCATACTGAATGAAAAAGTCAAGCAAACAGTGTCTCTCCTCCAAATATCTTCCAACAAATGAATTTATACCTTCATTTCTTGATGTGGTTGTCAGCCCGGCAAAGTAGTGGGAGCGCAAGTATGTGTCCGCCCATTCTCCGCGTCTCCCAAATAAATTTTTAGTCACCCATTGGTTGTTCTGTAGACCACATTTTCCCACTAATTCCTTCCATTTCTCTTCAAATTCTTCTTGCTCATAATCAGCAGTTACAAATGTGCTCCATGGGGTTCGAAGTCTGGGCTATTCTTCACCTTGCCCTTGATATTCTTTGAAAGATGCCACGCACAAAGCCGGTGTGTTGCATCTGGAAACACAGTAGCAATGGCATTCTTCATTGCTTTATCCCCATCTGTTACAACTGTATGCAAGTCCTTTCCATCCAACATTTCCTTCAATATCTCCAAAGCCCACTTGTAGCTCCCTTCAGTCTCATTAGCTAATAGTGCACTCCCAAATAAGCAACTCGTGAAATGATGGTTGATACCTGAAATAGCAAGTGCTTCTCAACTTGTTTACGGATTAGAAAATTGAATATACGAACCAAAATTAGCACTAAGGTGTGTACTTGTGAAAATAACAAGAGGCATATTGTAAATATTTTTTTTGTATGTCGTGTCAAATGCGAGCAACTCTCCAAAGCACGAGAGGTCAGCTATGCTCATACTGTCTGCCCAAAATAAACTGTGGAGCCTATTTTCCTCGTCAGTAGTGTACCGGAGGATGAAGTGCGTGTCCGTACTTTTCTTCGATTCTAGATAGGCCAGTGCGGCTGCCGCATCACTAGGACATAGCCTTTCATTGCGATCTCGAGTGCTGAAATTCATCCCATCTTTTATTGTGTACCCAACTTTGTCATGTCCTCCAGCATTATGCACAACAAGCTTTATGATTTGAGAATGTTTCATACCTGCATTCTTCTTAAATCTAAAGTCTGTCTTGTCAGCCTCTGTTAACCCTCGTTGTGATCTCAGGTGATGAGTACACTGCCGATTAATTGGCATATGATTGTGATCTTCTTTAAATATATCCACTATCCATTTTGAATCATTCTTGTTAAATGCCACACGCATTTTTTCTTTACAACCAAATCTGGTCTCCATGGGGGAGTCTCTTTTTCTCCCCTTTGTTGGGGGCTCTATGTCCCTCACAAGAACAAACGAAAGCTCCAGTAGTAACCTCTCCCTTGCTGTTCCGAACTTTCTTTGAGCGCCTAACAGAGAATCCCCAAGCCCTTGCATAATCATTGTAGAAGTTGTAAGCTTCTTCGAAGTCATTAAATATCTGGCCGATTTTAGGAGGATCTAAAATCACATCTTCCATCCCAGTCGTTTCTCCATTCAGAATGCCATTGTCGGTTTCTCCTGTTTCCTCTAAACTCTCAAGGTCATCTTCGATGGGACTGTTACGAGGATGTTCTTCTTCTTCCATCGATATAATGGCTGCAAACTTCTTTGGTTTAGGGTCTCGGTAGGGTGGGATACTGACTGTAGGTGGTTTGGTAGGGTTGGAGGCGGCTAAACGTGTATGTACGTACAAGAATTATGCCCAGCCTGCTGCTGGAAACCTATTTTTACCCCTCTGTTGTTTTGTCTATGTTAAGAATGATTATTTTAGTATTTTTGGTAGCGTAACCTTCCACTTCAATTAATTATCCAATGCTGCCATGTGTAAATTGATTCATTTATTTTTTATTTATTCAACTCTCTCCTTACCGATCTTCTTCCTCCCAAAACCTTCCATCTTCATCCTTCTGTGTTCTGTACAGAGGAAAAAATGGGAATATACCCTATTTCCCTTCCTCTGGAATTTCCCCGCCTTTAAACAAAACTTGCACATGAAAAGATGACACACATGATACATTCTACCTGCTGCTAGAAAAGTTTGCTGCAAAAATCCATCTTACACATCTTTTCTATATGCAACAGGTGGAGGTAAATCTTCTCATAGAAGAAACCACAATTCTGAGATCAGATCTCGTATATGACTGAGGACAAAGTCTGAATCCTGCAGTAGACATGGGACAGGTTGTACACACAGATATTCCATTAGATAGACTGAAGTTCTAATCTTTAAAGAACACATGACGTCGGAGGTCTTGATGTTTTAACTTCTGTCTTTGTTCGCTTGCAGATTGAAGGAGCTTTTGTTCAGGGAATATGGTTCTTCATGTTGGAAGAGTACAAGACTAACTCGGACGGTTTAGTCACAGCAGACAGCACCTGGAGATACAAGGTTCCAACCATAGACAACATCCCAAAACAGTTCAACGTTGAAATCCTCAGCAGTGGACATCACCAGAACCGAGTTCTGTCATCAAAAGGTAGATAATAAACAAATAAACAAATAAACCTTTGCTGCTAGATAATAAACAAATAAACAAATAGATGATGAATTCGATTAGAAAAAAAATAAAAAAATAGATGATGATAAAAGAATTTTCTAAGTTTAATTAATGATAAAAGATTTTCCTGTATAGCTTTAATAGAATTTTCTAAGTTGACTTAATAAGGTAGATAAATATTACACTTACCATAAAGAGAAAAACACTCTACATCCCCCTTTATTAAGACGTGTTAAACCCCTTTTTCAGGAATACCCAGCTCTGTGACGGTAGGATTAGAAGAGCACAGTTCTGTACCGTTCTGTGAAGCTGGAACAGAAGAGGACCATGGAAAGCCAGGGTAAGTCAATTATATACACAAGGAAGAAAGCCACCATCGTAAAGTCTCTCTTTCTTCTAAATTCCTCTTTTGTTATGATTTCTTTTTTATCTCAGGGACAAGAACAAGATGAAGCATGTTATGGACAGCGGGATAATGACAAGATCAAAGGTGCGGTCGTCCGATATAATGGTTTGTCAGTTTACATGTTTTCATATCTCCATCGTTGGCAGCTTATTTTTCGTTAAAAACTAAAGAACGACGATTGTTTTTGTACTATGAACGTAGGAGCTGGAGAAGGATGTATCTCCGGTAAAGAAAGCTAGAACTGAAGTCAGTGTGATCCCTCCATCGACGCCGGGATCAAATATGATTGTTCTTGACGGTGAATCGAGGGAGATGGTAATGCTTTAGTCTGGAAATGTCGTACCAGATTTTCTACAGTGCAATTCACCGAAAAGGTATTTTTATCCACCCCACTAATATTTTTCTGTCTTAAAATGGAATCAGTGGTTATATTTTTATCGAACCCACTAATATTCTTTCGTCTTCCATTGCAGACAGAAACTAAGTTTAGGCTGCCTCACGCTGTCAACTACAGTGAGGAGGAAATCAAACTTGCTCACTACATATTTGCAGCTGACCTTCCGTTAAAAGAGGTCCTAGTCGATACCATGATGAAATCCTATACGCGAAAGGTGCTATGGTCCCTCTGCCCTAACTCCAATGTTGATGCTGATGTAAGTTTTAATCCTGGCCTACTGTTACTAATCAGGATGTTGAAGGGTGTTTTATATCTTGTTGTTTGCACATCATTTGTTAATGAGTAGATGACGATTTTAGGGAAAATTGATAAGGATCAAGCGGTAGCCAGGATCATGTCCTTTCTACCCAGAATTTGAGTCTGGTGGTTGTCGTTCTTTCTTTGGTGGTGCCTGTTTATTTGACCTGCCTTTGGTTTGTTGTTTTTTTTTTCTCCTGTGTATTTTTGCCCTTTTCCCTTTGTTTCTTTGAGGAGTGCACTGCTGGTGCAGCTTTGCTTCTAGTTTCCTCTCTGATTTTGTTTTTGTATCTGTACACTGTTCTTCTATTTAATTCCCTTTGTTTCTTTGAGGAGTGCACTGCCGGTGATACGAATTATTGGCAATTTTTTTAGTAAGGCAGCACTGCCACATCTAGGGCCGATCTGGAAGTATTGGAGTTAATGATGCTTTCATTGATGCTAAGTACATGGTAATAATTGGCTTAGTAACTAGCTAATTACATTTCTTTTCTCGAAATTCAAAATGGAAAGTTTGCTTGGTGATAGCTAAGTTGTTTAATTGTACTCGGTTGTTCTTTGAAGTGTTATTTAACATATTTCGTTTGAAAGTTGAGGATATACTGGCCTGAATATAGTTGTTCCTGCATTGAAATTGTCACAGCATGCAGAAATATGGGTAAGGTGTAAGCTTCAACAGATAACCATGAACTTCAAGCATGAAACTCGCATAATGCTTTCTTCTAATATGCTTTCTTTGCTTCTCATTTTCAATAGAGTTAGTAACAGATTGCACCTTCCCTCTCTCCTTACCGTTCAACTCGCATAATACCAATCTCCTAAAATTTGTATACCCTGGTTGGTTGGTGTATTAGGTAATTACAGCAATGACTAGCCACCTGACCCTGGACGAAATTTCGAGGGATGCTGGCCGTGGAAGAAGAGTATGTTTTCTGCCTACTGAACTGCAGGTACATATTGATTTACCTTGTACATTTATTTTATGTGAAATATACTGTTTGTTCTATGGTATATAATAAACGTTTAATTCTGCTAATTTAATCAAATCATGATTAGGAAATGGTACTTAACTATGGCATGACACCGAAAAAAGCTTTAGAGTGTTACGGTACAAAGTTTCTCACAACAGCTCACACCTGCAGAAAGGTTTTCTTCTCAATACTTTCTTCTGCATTTCACTTTTGGCTTCCTCATTAATTGTTTCTAGCTATTGTATGAAGATATATGTGAATAATTATTTTTTCCAATCAAGCTATTTAACTTTTTCATAAATGGAATGTCAAATATGGTCTGCTGATTTTGGTCTTTCTTGTCGTAATGTAGTTGTGTCTTCCAATGAATGATATGATGCATGGTGATGGCATTCATTGGTATTTAGTTGTCATCTTGATGGATGACAAGCAAGTTCATATCTTGGATTCATATCCTTCTAAAGAGCGCCAAACAACTCGTAAAGATGCAGTACAAACTATGGTATGGTCAGAATTTGTGCGTGGAATACGATTATATTTGTGAACTGGATTTTTGTTCTCTTCTATTTGTAATAAAGTTACTCCTTATGTAGATTGGATTTCTTGATGCCTTGTTCGAGGATCTTTATTTACAAGTGGAACAAATGTGCGATCCCCCAGTGATGAAGGAGTTCTCTTTGACAATTCCTTCAGTTCCTGAACAACGTCACCAGTAAGAATCATTCCTCATGCATAAATTCGAAAACATACTCACAACTGATCATATGCTTCATCTAAATTTATGTAGGTATGACAGTGGCATTTGGGTGTGCGTATGGATGTTGGGTGCAACTTGGGATGAAGATTATTTTATATGGGTAAGCAACAATTCACTTGCTTGAACTTGTAGTTAAACAACCTAGTGAATTTGCTATTGAGATCCATTGTCTTTGTGAAAAATTTTCAGCCATGTGGAGATATGAGGAGAATGCAAGTAGCTTTGTATCTAGTCAAACAACCTGCAAATTACATAAGACATGTGGTCATCAAGGAAGCAAATAGGAATGCACCGAGGTTTGAACTCGAGACTCGTACGTACAAGGAAGAAAATCGAAAGAGGTTGAACAAGAACTAGAGCTATATGGAGATAGTGCTTCCGTGATTTCGTAATATGTTTCACTACATTTCATCAGATTAACGGTTTCATTTTTGTTGGGTATTTTGGATGAACAAATTTCAGTTTACATTATCATGGGATTCGGTTCTTTTCGTTCTATGTTGAACTTGGTTGTTTGTTGAACTAGTTAAGTTTATGGTTTGAGAATTTTTGGTCTATATGTTTAGATACACAACATCGACATTTTTGGATGCAACTCTGGAAGTAGTAAGCATTTGAAAAGTTGCAGCTTGATAATGCTAAGAGTAAGGGGTCTAGCCTCCAAAGGCACGCTAGCCATAACAAGAGACAGACGCAAACCAAGAACACATCGAAACATATAATGTCAAAAACAAACCAAATTGGCAACTAAATGTTGCACTATCCAACCACAAAAACAAATGTCGATCTCCACTTCCAGAACATAGGCACCAAATACAAAGAGTCTTAAGAAAATGAAAACGACAACATTATTTTGTGTCCACTTCAGTAAGCCAGCATTCATCAAGTAGCAGTTGCATTGTGCTGCCACCTAGTGAAAACAACAACAGCAGCAACGAAAACAACAACAAAGTAATGGATCAGGAACCTCGTCGAAGACAATCTCATTGATTAGATAGTAATCAAAAGGGTCCCCACAAACAAAGCCTCACTTGAACTTGACAAAGATTAGCTAGCTGATATATTGAGAATGGATAGGACAGATCATGGGAAAACAAATTGAACGAATAATAGTCTTAGAACAAAGCAACAGCAGGTGTAGATTGCAGGCTTTGGCTTACTTATGAAATGGTTACAAGACATGGACAAGCCAGCCACATACATGAAATTGAAGTTCTAAACAATCTTTAACACTCGGTCCAAAACACTATGCAATACCCGAAATTGTTCAACAATCCAACTAAGCTAACCCGAAATCATGGCTACTTACAGGATCATCATTCAATCAGACCGTTTGCTCCCAGTTCGGGCAGCTCGAGGTCGTACTTCACGGATAACATGGGGGAGGTCATAAGAGATCTCTTTGGAAGGGGTGTTGAGCTGTAAGTGCACCAGCTCCACATGCTTCCGGTGGGGCTCGATCTCTTTGATCAAGGCGTCGCTGATGTCGTGCAGCGCTTGGGCGACTCTGCTCTTGCTGGTTTCGAAGGCAACTACTTGGTCATTGTAGGACTCCGCCAAGTCTTTCAGTTTGTTCGTCTTCCCACCAGCTGTAGCGTTTTCCTGGATGGAGCTCAGTGTTTCGCTTATCTTCCTGAAGCAGGAGATCATAGAGGCCATGCTATCCTCGAGAAACTGGCCGTCATCCGCAATCACAACACAAAATCAGGCCTCCAAACACAAGGAAAAGCTGTCGGGCGTAAGAATCCTACCACTCTCCCCCTCCTCCTCTGCCTCCAGCTTCGGCATCTCTTCAATCCTTCTCCTCACATTGTCGGTCAATATGGGAAGCCGGTCATCTGAAATCAAAGGCAAAAGGCAAAATCAGGTCCCAAATACAAGGAGATTCGGGGTTTGGGGTTTAGTAGGGACTCTTACCGGTCTTCTCGAGATGGAATTCGAGGGAGGGCATCGGTAGTTCTACCTCCAGCTCCGGCGACATCTCTTCGATCATATCCCTTATATAGTCGGTCAATACGCGCGCCCCACAAGTCGGAAATCCTCTACCTTACCTCCATCAGATTTCCTGGGCATGTGAGGAGAAGATCGATCCCCATTGTAGCGACGGATTGGCAGGAGGAATAAGGGTTGTGGTGGGAGGGAGGAACGGGAGAAGATGGATTAGTGAGGTAGATAGAGCACATGAAAACGGGAGAGAGGAGAGGGTTTGAGAATCTCGATGAAGGGAAAATGTGAACGGGGATGTTTAAGTTAAAGCATCCAATTTGGGATGTTTAAATTATCAATAGAAGAAAATAGGTATCAGAATATGAAAGTAAATGAATAATTAGTTGGGGGACTAAAGAGGACGAATGAAAATGTAAGGGAACCGATCAATTATCTTTAATTTGTATTTTGTAAATAATTTTATCATAATTTATAATGACCGTCAGATTAGATCAACAGTGTGTAAAACCTGGAGCATACTATGTGTCTAGAGCACACGAGTCTGAACCATATATATATTTATATATATTTCCCGTCGATTATCAACTCGATGTTTCTAAAAATCAACTATACCATCATCCAATACCAAATCACATAAATCATCTCATTCTCCAGTAAAGCTACTTAGCAGTACCATATCACCATTCCTTATCCAAAATTCATCAACAATTTCACGAAATAGCCCCGATGCAAATAATTGTAAATAACGCGGTTGCGGTAAAAAATGTCCTTAACCCAAAATTCACTTTCCTTCATTATAATCCTCACAAAATTCATGTAAATGAATTTATTGACACAAAAATCCATTTAATCCAGTTCTGGTAATAAAAATCAATTTAGACAATAAATTATCAAAAATCTCGTATTAACCATTATCTTACGGTAACTTAAATTCCAACAAAACGGTAAATCCAAAAATCTCCCAAAAATCCAAGAACCTCCATTTATCATCCTAAAACAGATCTGTCCAGTTTTTATATTTTTCAATAGCTCAAAACCATGAAAATAATATTACACTCGTTCTTTACCGCAAATATCGTATTAAGCTTGTTTTTACCATTTTAAAGATAAAAAAATCCCCCAACTGTCTAATTTAATCTTTTCAGAGCACATCCCATTTAACAATCCATACTGACCATTTTAAAGTGATCCAAATCTCAAAGATAAATAAAACCCGCTTTTACCGAGCTTTTCGTAAAATTCACTGTTATGCAGTTTTTAATCCGGAAACCATTTTCAAGTGAAATCTTCTATTCAATCTGCCCCAAAATTATTTTAGACAAACAAAAATCTCTTTGATCAGTTTTAAACTCAATAAACCCAAATATCCATTTTTACGGTGAAACTTATTAAATAGCGATATTTACACCGTAAAATCCATATGCCTCAAGAATAATCACCAAATCATCATATCAACAAATAAGTTATCACCCACAGTAATCCATGCATCCAAATATGTAAATCAAACATAAATAATCGATGCAATAATTAAGGTCCTCTTAATCCCCACACACCTTAATTTAGCCGATTCCAAGTCGGGAATTAAGTTCTAAAATTCCAGAGATTGGCTCCTAAAAATCCTCTCGTTTCTACGGTCGTTTAGCCGCAAACGGTTTGTCGTTTGGAGTCAAACGAAGAAACTGCGAGCCGATTACGATTAGTATTGAAAATTACAGAATGGTACCCCATAGTTTCGAACTGTCAGAAACAGTTCCAGAACTAATAAATCTTACAATTATAAGTACTAACTTCCGAACCTCGTTTCTCCCTCGTTTGAGCTCGGAATTCGATTCCGTCGACTCTGTGATGCTCCTGGAGACGACCTCTCCGCATCAGTACCAAGATTAGGAATTACGACAAGCCTCCGATGAACCTCTTACAAAATCGATTTCTGACTTCATATATGAGTTTCTAAGGGTCCTATTACCTAAACTCGATCCTTGGACGATTGTTTTTTCCCCTTTCTTTCTCCCCTCTCGTTCTCCCGTTTTCGTTCGGTTGTGGAAAGTGTATACGAAGAAGAAGATGGAGTTGAATGGGGTTTTGTAACGATCAGTTCCAACACCCTTTCCTCCCTCTTAATTCCCCAGACGTCAACCATTAATTCCCTTCTGAAGGCCGCCTTCAAATTTGCAGGTGCGTTGGAAGGAAGAAACCCCAATTCCAACGTTGGGTGCCGCTTGTACATCCATATCTGAAGCTCTGGTCGCTGCCTCTTCTATTAGAACGACGACGTACAAGACAAGGCTGGTTATACAAAGGAAAGCCTCCACAATTATATTAAAACCTGTTCGTATAACTTGAACACGAAATGCTATTTAGCCTAGTGGATTTGGTCTAGTTTCGTGGCTTCAATTTTAACCAACAGTGACCAACAGGTTCACTATTCCAATCCTGCTACTGTGTTCTTTTTATTTTGTTAATTTTTTCTATTTCTTTCTAATGTGTATCCATATATAATAATCAGTTACTATTATTGTGTTTCGTAACATCTTCTCTCGTCGACGATGCAACTCCAGGGCATAGAATCTTAGCTGTAAATTTGTAGAATAAATTTATTTTCCCCTTTTAAATTTAATTTATTCTGTTTTGTTTTGTTTGGTCCGGGATGTTACAGACATCCTCTTTTTCCTTTTCACTCGTGGCTTCCAGTTGTGCGGGGAAGCTGCCGGCCAGGTGTTGCTCCTCTGTTGAGAGCGGCTTCCTCTTTGGAAGTAACTCCTTGACCTCTCTTCCACTTCGAAGAGTTAGTAACAGCCGTCAGGTGGGTTTGCTGGCTCTCCAACCCTGCATCGATGGCTGAGAACTTCTCTGTTGCTTCTCCAATGAAACTGTCGATTCTTTCAAACTTTTTCGAGTTGGAGGCAACAAAGGTCATCACTACCTCCTCAAGGTGGGATAACTGGTCGTCATGCACTGGGGCGATTGAGTATAACTGCTTGCATGGGACCAATTCGTCACTCAACATGTGATACTCAGCTTCCTCATGGTCCCAACTTGCACCCCCACTCCATATGTGTAACTACTCCATTTCGTTGCCCGTAATCCTCAAGAATTACTTTGATCAACTTATCAAACTTTGCTTGAAGAAGGGCCATATAGTATCCCATTGTCCTCGAGGCTTCCTCTTCCGCTGCCGCATTGTTTAGGTTACGAGCTTGGGTGGCTCCCTCTTCTCCTTTGTTCCCATCCATTTCTACTCCAACGACGGGTTCACCTTCAACTTCTTCAACTTATACTCCACTAGCACCGGGACCCAATTGTTGTCCCCTTTCTTCACCTCTTCTCCTTTCCTCCGCTAGCTCTCTCTCTCATGCTAGGAGTTGGGGAGTTCGGTTTATGTCTTGTCACGTGTTATCAGAGGTGCCGGATTGCTCCGGGCCATGCACCTCCCTACCCACAATTAGAAAACAATACCAAGTCTTAGACAAGCAAAGCACACACACTTTCAAAACTAGAAATTAAAAGCTAGACTACACCAAAATAATTTTTCAAGATAACAGACCGTTGTCCCCGGCAACAGAGCCAAAAACTTGACTCGTCCCGAATATCACAATTAATTCCCGCTTAAGTTCCAAGTATAAACCTTAGTACGGTGCAATACAGGGCAAGTATGTTTAAATATCGACTCGGGCCGGTCCGTGCACCCATACTTCAATTGTTTGAAACATCATCTAGCAAATCGGTTTTGGTTGAAATTTTTCTAATTAAAGTAAAACAAGGCAAAAGTAAATGGTTTTGAAAGCTCTTTGCGAGAAGGATCACTCGGGTGTCGCTTCCCCCTAATTACTACCATGGCATGTGAATCGAAGTGATTACTATGGGAAAGGAGACCACTAACCGCTAGAAAACGCAACTATGGTCGTAGACCACACTCTCAATTGCCAAACCAAGGGATACATTATAGGCTACTTAAGTAGCCCTCCTGGTTAAGGCATCGATGGTTGACTTACTCTCTCACTCAACCCAATGGTTGGTCGGCTTAATCGCGCTTAACCAAATTGCTTAATTAAACATAGAGGTTTTCCCTACATTAACCTAGATTGGTGACTTAAAAATCCCAAGGAATCCCAACTCAACTGAGGCTCCCTTGAAAGGGGTTTTTCCCTCTAATCTAGGTTAGAATAGCCAATTGGATTGCTAAGCACAAACATGCACAATCAACATGAAAAATACCTCAATCATTGATGTAAACAACACCCATAAACAATCATTCAATCCACACAACAACTACATGGTAAATAGTTAGGGTTTCAGAACACCCAAATGAAAAGGAAACTATTCCATGCTAAAAAGGGGAAGAACACAAGAGGAAGAGGTAAAACCCATCAAGGTGATGCCTCCAATCTCCTTTGAGCTTGTGTTTATCTTCTTTTGGGGAGAATCTTCCCAATTCAGCACTTGGAGCAAACCCTAACCTTCTTTCTTCTTTGGTTCTCTCTCTCTCTCTCTCTCTCTCTCTAAAATCTGAAGAAGACACATTCTCACTCTTGGGCTGCCCCTTTCTCTTCCTTTCAGCTCTCCTTTTAAACAGGTATCGGGCTCAGTTCACGGCCTCAGCTCATAGCCGTGAACTCTTGAACGCGTCCGCGAAATCAAGGTTAGCGTCGAAACGCACCGCTTCGCTTGCTCAAGTTCACGGGCAACAGCTCCAGTTCATGGTCTTAGTGACCGTGAACTCGCATAGCGTCAGTAACTTCATGAAGTGCCCTATACATCTTGATGTTCACGACCCATGCCTCCTCTTCACGGTCTTAGCCTAAGGGAAACCGTGAACTGCCGGTTTTTCAACTCTTCTCCTGGTTTTCGCTCCTTTTCGTCCAACTTTCGATTCCGGGGCTGGTTTCACCGGTTAGATTCTGAAATATGCTATAACAAAAGAAACCTAGCGTAAAACCACCCTAATAGGAGCACAATTGCCACAAACTCCTATGGTTAACGGGGATAAAATGCGTACAATTAGTCCTGAATCACGTATAGACACGAAGAAAGGATGGGGGTTTGTTCTATCAAACACCATTAAGCTCACAGGGGAAAAGCTCCTACATGAGAACGACCCCGAAGTCACAAGGCTCAAAGTGGTTGATTAGGGGATAAAACATTTCGCTACAATCAACATTTGGGCGCGGACTAATCATATGCCTCCATCATACTCACTAGTGACAACTATGATGTTACTCGCCATGGTAAGAGGGATCTATGAACACAAGAAGAAAATGATAAGCTCAAAGCTCACATGGACA